GTTTTATGTTAATCATTAGTTGTGTCTAAGACAAACTACTTAAACATGAATAAACTTCGAACGTAGATAAAACTATATATCCAACAATGACTATGCAATTCATTTCAAGATAAATAATAGTTTAAATGTAATGTGTATTTTTATAAGGAAATGTATTTGAATACTTAGACAAGTATTAATAAACTAAATATTCATATAGAATAATCAATACTTTATGTACATATGAATAAATATTACGTTCAAAGGTAATATCTAAGATTTCATTTAAATAAAACTTTGTATAGAAAAATAACAAAGATCATGGTGAATAAGGTCACCGAGTTATTACCTTTTACTAACAAAATTTTTTATTTTGAATCTATATGACATGCTCTCTTCGAAGTTTTTCTTGACGTAAGAAAAAGTGATTTTGATAGCGTGAGTATTGCATATTAAGAATAATTAGTCTAATAGAAGAAAAATTAATAAATTATTTTACCATTATTTTTCATAGAAATTAAGTACAATTGTTCTTGAAAGTTATATGTCAAAGCAGAGGTTTGCCTCTCTTTGCAAATAGAAACAATGAATATGCGATCAATATACAAATTCTCTTTACTCTTTAAATATAATGTTAAGAAAATATATCTATTATCAAACAACAGTCGCTAATGGCATATTTATGACAAATAACTACTGTCAAAATATAATATTCTTGCCTAAAAGCGACAAAATATCAATATACAGATATAGAATTAATAGAGCAGAAGAGTAGTAAATTTGTCATTCATCACTATTTGTAGTTGAACTCAATAGAACCCACAAGAGGTTAAACTTCTTAATGTAATTTTTTTTCGTAGAAAATACTAAGGCTCATTAGACATAAAAACTTATAAGTTCATGATTAAATCTGTTCTTTTTTTAGTTGAGAATTTCCATTAATCATAACATCAAAAAAGCTTTAATTTGTCATGTTTTACCCTACTTAAACAAAATTCTATGATATTTTCGCTAAATATAGGCGAGTTTCACAAATCTGAATTATTATTTTTCCTATTCTAGAATAATTTTTATTTTTTTATTTTACTTTTAAAGAGAAAGTGTATACAAAAAACTACCAACTACATAATATAAAAAAAACAATCAATTATCTAAGTTAAAAGTACTTTCCAAACAAAAATTTCATTTGATGATGTTGTTATTAATAAACCATGAGATTTGTTTTTCCTTATAAATTTAATATTTAATAAAGTATCACTGTTACCAATAAAATCCTGAAATGTACCCTGAGCATAATCTTTTAATTGTACTAAACGATCATTTGTACCAATTGCTATTAAACGATTTTCATCATCATCAATATTTAAACTAGATAAATCAAAACAAGAACACCATTGATTTAATGGTATTGTACGAACGATTTGTTTCGTATCAAGATTATAAATTTGAATAGATTTTTCTATTCCATAACCAATATACATTAAAAGATTTGAATCAATAAATCGAGCTAAACTTGGTGGATATGATTGCCAATTATTATTATCATGTGTTGTTCCATCAGGTGCAAATGATGGTGCAGAAAATGTTAACCAATCAATTAATTGACAAAAATCAAATTGTTGATTGCCTTTCCATAAACTAACACGTCGATCATGACTGGCAATTAACCACATATATGAATTATTTTCTGAGATATATTTCGAATCAATCATACATATTGGTGCATTACCACGATGATCATTTAACACACGTAAAACAATACCTTGAGCAAGATTTGATATTGCAACAGAACCATCCGATGCACCAGAAAGACTTACAGTAGCTAGAAAAAAAAGAATAATGAATGAGAAATATTTTTATAACGAATAGGGAACTGCAAAATGGTCCCGGGACCAAGACTAAAATTGTCAGCTAATTCCTCAATGTTTTTATCAAGTGTGAGGCTAGACATTTTTTTATTTCTTTTTTTTTCCTTAACTAAGAATTGACAAATGTGTTATTTTATAGTTCAAGAAAAACCGTATAGATTGAATTTACAATCGAAAAAGCGAGAATTTTCATGAATTTCATATTGTTTTTTACATAGATGAAGACAACACCAGAATTATTCTCAAGCTTTTATCAAGACCGGGACCGAAAAAACGTGATTTTGCAGTTCCCTAATTACGAACCATTCACAGGTGCATTAATAGCACATATTGATGATGTATGTGGATGTAATTTAAGCACCATTTGACCGTGAAGAAGATTAAAAATTCGTATTGTACCATCATTATAACCAGCAACAATTGATCGAATAGTTGTACGAATATTTTTAATTGGACTTGTTGTTCCAGATGAATCAATTGTTGGTATAATTGAATTATCCCACGATGTTAAACAAGTTACTTTCTAAATATTTAATCGTATATAATATGATTAAACCAAACAATAAACTTACTAATCCATTAGCATCAAAACGAAGAATTTCATTTCGATCTTCTAATTGAAATATTCTTATTGTACCATCAAGACTACTTGTTACAACATGAGTATCTTCAATAGGTATAACACCTGTTATACGATCAGTATGTGAAGCAACAAGACGAGTTTTTGATCGTTCTGTTGTCCAACAAATATACCATAATGAACCACATGTTGTACCAACAATACCCATATCAAATATATTATCAAATGATCCACTAATAATTCCATCATCAAGTTGAAATTCATCTTGTATTGTTAAACCATAATTTCTAAACAAAACATTTTTCTATTATATATAAAATATTTTTCTTAATCATATTTACGAATCCGTCATATTTGGTAATCCTAAATTGACTTCAAGATTTTCTGTATTCCATAAACGTAAACAACCCGTTGATGAACCTGTAATTAATTTATGTTTAATTGTTGCCATATAACATATTTCATTTGCATCAGCTTTCCAATGTAGAAGACATGTATTTGTACGTGTATTCCAACATGTTATAAAACCACAATTTGTTGAACATAAAACAAGATTTGTTGTTGAAATTAAATAGATACATGAAGTTATTTCACAGATTTTTTTTGTCGATTCACTTATTGATGATGGCATTTGTCCATTAATAACTTGTAATTTTAAATTTGTATTATTTGTTTGTTCAATAATTGTACAAAAACGTATAAGATTATTTGAACAACCAAGACAAAATTCATTAGCACGCATTGGATTCCAAGCAAGACAATTTATATAAGCTGAAGATGATTCATCAGACCAATTCAATAAACTAGTAAAATCTTGTGTTGACCATAAAGTAAGATGTGCTTTGCGATAATCACCCATCGTAAGAAGAAAACGATCATCTCTATAGCAAAAAGAATATGATTTTACTAATTATTTAGAGTACACTTTAGAATAATACCTTGAAAAAGCCATTGATTGAATTGCATAAACTGACTGATGAAGAAATAATTTTTGTCGAAGCATTTTTATATCCCAAATAATAATCTTTGTTTGTAATTCGTCTTTATTCATTGTAGTTGAACATTGTGCACTAGCTAACATAGTAACATCATTTGATAATGCTAATGTTGAGATTTCTTCCGTATGACCAGTTAAAATTGTTTGATGATTATTATTAAGATTTTCTACAATGATATTACAACCGACAGTATAAGCAAAAAAACCAGATTGTGCATGCCAAACAACATTTTCTCTTCCATTACCATTATAACCAATTATAGATTGAAGTTTAAGACTTTCTTGATTAGCTGGTGCAACATATCGTTTCTGAAAAATATTTATTGAATAAGAAAAAAAAATGAAAAATTAATATTAAATTACTTTGGCTAATTGTGAATGATTAATTCGTTGAATAAAATGACGTCGAATTGTTGGTAGATTACGATCGATTTGTTTTATTGGTAATTTTTTATTCTGATTTTTTCTTAAAAAAAATAATTCAAATTTATATTAATATTAATAATCGGTCTTCGATGTTTTTTTGACCTTTCCCCCTCAGATTCGAAATACCTCAAGAAATGTCTTTTTCGAAAAATCGATTTTCGATGTTTTTTTGGCCCTTCGGATAGACAAGCAATTAATTGTTACTGGACTCTTCTCTACGAGAAAGAGAATTTATTATTTACTTATGTCCATGAGATATACTTGTTGTTGTATTAAGTTCACAATTTGATAATGATCGTGTTACAGCTCGTGCAGTATTTTCATTCGTTTGCTGAGTATATTGAAATGGTTCAGGTGGATTTCTTGGTTGTCCATTATTATCCGATGGAAATCGTATAGATGCACGTTCAATATCTATACAAAAACATTTTTCTTTGAAATTTCAATTTATTTTATTTAGATTTTACTTTTCAAAGGAGGAACAATGTATTGTGTATTACTAAATACATTTGGTCGAGGCGTTGTCCATGCAAGTACATCCCAAATAAATATTGAATCTCCAATACTTACAATATGCATATTATCATCTGTAAAAAAAACTTTTCGTACTGGTTCAGAATGGCCAACAAAACTCTAGATAAATATTATGAATAAAAAAAGTTAAAAAATGAAAATTTACTTGAAAGTTAATATCATCCCAAAATTTAAGCATATTATCACCACTCGTAACTAAATATTGACTATCGGATGATAAAGCAAGACAATCAAATGATTGTTTGTGTACATTACTTATCTAAACGAAAAATTTCATTTATTCTAATAAATAAAAATTAAGAATTTTTTTTTTACAATATTTAGAAGTTTTCCTGAATAAGAATCGAATTTAAGTAATTTGAAATTTGTTGTTGCAACTAATAATTGTCGATTAGGTGCAAAACGAACAAATAAAGCTGCATCAGTTGATGAACTCGATCGTCGATCATTACTAATCGATGTACAACTACTTATATCAATTCGAAGTGTTTGATTTAAACTATTTGTTTCAACAATTGTTACAACAAATTCTGTTGGTCCAACATATGCTGTATGTTTACCATCCGAACTTATTGATAATGTTGATATGCCTTTATGTAATATTGATAAAGCTTTTGCTACTGTTCGTTGTAATTTATAATTATCATTCGCATCTAATAAACATAAATTGCCTTCTTCATCACTACTTATTAAACGTCCACCATTATGAGCATAGATTAAACCAGTAATACCCGTTGTATGATGTCTAGAAAAATGAATTATTTAAAATAAAATACTATGAAAATTTAGAATATGTCTTGAAATCCGGAAAATTTCTGATATTGTTCTAACAGAAGAGAATGATAATATTCTTTCATAAATGATTATGGTTGTCTACGTCAATCATGATTATTGTCTACCAGGTACCATTCTACTTTACTGTGCTTTGCACTTCTATTAGCAAATATACACAGACGTGCACCTTGAGAGTATGGGTGTTGTGTCCATGCTTTAAAGTCAATACTCTTAGCAACAGGAATGTAACAGTTCCAGTTCCAAAAAAACTGAACCTGAGCTTTCACAGTCCTACTTGCCAAACATTTCGAGAGCGATGAGTATCTCGTGGGACTTTCTTTATTGGTGGCTACTAAAAAGTGAACCACATCACTTCTCTTCAAATCAAATGGTTTCTCTTCTTTCTTATACATGGCTCTTTGTTAAATAAACTATTGAATCTTTTTTCAAAACTTTTCCGGATTTTGGGACAATACTAAAGTTTATATAAAATCTTACGTAATTTCAACTGATATAATCGATGTATTTATTTCAAATATTTTAATTGTTCCATTATTAAAACCACATGCAAATGTTTGTCGATTGGGTGCATATGTAACAATCACTGGTGTTTCACGTTCAGCCGTAAATTCCGATAATTGTTTACCTGTACGAAAACACCATATTCTTATTGTACCATCTTGTCCAACACTAATCATTTGTTTTCTTGTATCATCATAATCAATATCTGTCACATATTGTGTATGTGCACGTATTAAATTTAAATGTTCTTTATTAACAAGATTTAATATACCAAGTGAACCTGATACAGTTAAAATTAACACACGAGTTTGATCATGTGATGTTATTAAACCACATATAGCTTGATCATGTTTCGCTTCAATATAAACTTGTGTAAAATCATTTGACCAAACACGAACATATCCATCATTTGAACCTGTTATACAAAATGTATTTGTACATGCAAATGCACATATACCAATCGATGGTCCATTTGCCATAGTAATCTTTTCTGTTGAACCATTCGAATGTTTTTTTGGTAATAAACGATGAATTTTTGTTACACGTCGTTCATCATATAATAATTCAATAATATGACCACTTTTTGATGATATAAATACAATTAATTCATTTAATTTATTATTTGATATATGTTCAAATTGTAAATCTGTATATTCTAATTGATTAATATCATCAACAGATATACTCATTGATTTTAAATCATTCCCATTTTTAATACGCCAAAAACGTATATTATCTAAACCAATTGAAACAAATCTTGTTGAATCATATGGAACAAAACGTATATGTGTTATAGATGCATCGGTTGTTGTTCGACATAGAAGATCAATTGAACCTTTATGTGCATTTAATGTATTATAAACACAAACTATCGTACGAGATTGTTGCGGTTGTTCACCATGACCAACAACAATAAGAGATGATGATGAATCTGAAAGATTTCGAATACCAAAATCAAGTGCATGTAAATTACATGCACCAGGTACACGAACAACACAAATACAACGACGTGTTTCAAATTTCCATAATCGAAGAATACCTAGAATAGACAATTATTGGAATATTTCTGATTTTTTGTTTATATTTACCATCAGGTCCAGCTTGTATTGTTGCTAATAATGAAGAATTTCCATTGAATGCAATAGCACTCACTTTATCCGAATGTCCAATAAAAAATAATTGTTGTTGAGTTTCAACATGCATTTGAACAACAATAGCATTCGATGGATAGAGAATATAATTTCCATCTTGTGTCCATAATAGATTTGTACAATTCTGTGTACTATTACCTAGACCAATAACAGTACGTAAACGAAGTATTGGATCAGATAAATGAGATTGTTGAGAACGATCAGTTGAAAGTGGAAGTTCAAAATTCGTTTCATCACCAACTGTTTGTGGATTGACAAAAAGATGAATACCATCATTATTATTTCGTGATGAAGCGGAAGGAAGTGAAGGTTCATACATGGTGGGTAATGATGGAAAACGATCAATAGGATTATTCGTTGTACGCCAATTATTGACCTAAATACAAAAAATTTAAGAGTTTTGATCTTGCTTTTTTGTCAAATGTAATACCTGACTATCTCTCGGTGAAATTGTTCTTTGTGTAACAAGTGTTAAGTCTGTTAATGATCGACTGGTTTGTTCATCACTTTGAATTAATTCTCTTGGTGTTTGTAATTGAACATTATTCGAATTTTCATCTGCTAATGATGATGAATTTGGTATGATAATAAAATCATATTTATTATGCCATGATTCATCTTTACCAACTGGATAGGATAATTCACGTGGTAATGAACGAATATTTGAACATTTTAAACCATTTTGTTTAGCTTTATGATTACTTAATCCTGGTTCATAGAAATATTGTGATGAAAAACAATTTTTAATCATCATATTTCCACATAATTGAAATGATTTTATCATATGATAATGTTGATTTGTCATATGTGTTAATAGAATAGCTTCTAAATCTAAACATAACACCGTCCAATGTATAGTTGTATTTGTTGATGTATATGGAAATTGTATACATGTTTGTGTAACTTTTAATTCACGATATAAATTTGATAATGATATACGTACAATATGTTGTTCATGTGTAAGAATATCAATATGTATAGAAAAAAATTTATCAAATATAGGTCGAAATAAAATATAGAATAAACGACCAATTAAAGCAAGATTTTGATTTGGTAATTGAGCAGGAAATTGTATATAATTATTTGCTGGAACAAGACCACGTATACGAAATACAGTGGATTTCAGATCACGATCCTAATTATAATAGAAAATAATATTTCTTTTTTTTCGAATGTAAAAGAAAATATATCATACCATGAGTGCAGTTACATCACCTTGTTTGGCACATTTTTTAGTTGAACCTATATCAAAATGTTTAAATATATTAACATATGGATGTTGCCATGTATTGTTGCTCATCTTAGTTTTCTTTATTTAAAGATTATTGATTGACTTTTCTTTTCTTTATTGATCGGCCATGAGTAATGTACTATGGAGAAGAGGTCACCTAGCAAATGAAACAATCTAAGTGACATCTATGATTTAAATCAAGCATAGAGGGATTATTAGACAGATATGCTTCATAGACGATATAGATTTTATTTTATTATTTTTTTCGTCATAGATAAGTACATTAGTTAAGGATACTAAACATAAACATATTTATTCATCTTAGTAATGAATTACGTGAAATCATTCATATACAAATCATATATATATATTGTTCATTTAATCGTTATGTATCATCTGTACTAGATAGATCCGATATTAAGAGTACTGATCTGATAGATTTAATCTCTTTTTTTGAACTTTCAAATGATTTATACTGAAAAAAAGAACGATAACAGTTTTTTTATTGATACTCCAATCATAGAATATATTTTATAAATTAAAAAAGCAGATTCAGCACCATTAATATAGATAGATAAAAATTATTTTGTTCATTTATTTGAAGTAATAGTACCATTTTCTTCTTTAATTGTTTGTTCTTTATTCTTTTGAATAAGACCATATTTTAGACAGAGTTGAACAATCTCCGAAGCAATTTTTTGATTCTAAAATAAAAGATATAAAAGGTTTTACTTTATATCTTATTCAGGGGCGTAGCGAGATCTCTAAGGCAGGAGAGGGGGGGGGGGGCGCAAAACTTCAGTACTTCAAGTTCTAAGAGCAGGAGGGGACGGAACACCCTTTTTGCTTAAATCTACTATCAAAAAAAACGTAAAAACCCTTTTGTTTGATTTTATTGACCAAAAATAACTAAAATTTTCCAAAGCAGGAGGGCGTGACACACCACGCCAGTGGCGGATTTAGGGAGGTGATCGCCCCCCCCCCCCCCTTCCGAATTTGTATTTGATTTTTTACAGTAAAAATGAGCGAAAAAACAGGTTCACACTACTTCGGTTGGACTCAAAAAATAGCTTTTAGCCAAAGTCCCCCTAGGTATCGCCCCTCCATACTCAAAAAAGATCGTCCCCCTCTTGCAAAATCCTAGATCTGCCACTGCCCCACGCTCCTGATTTTATTGACAGTCTAAGTTCCTCAGTTAAATATAAAATATAAAATCAATATACCTTTTCATTGACTAGAGAAATATCTTTTATTTCTTTCATTGCAAATAAAATATCCATTAATTCCGTTTCGACAATGCGTATTGCTAATTCTTTATCAATCTTAACAATATTGCGAATTATATAAAGTGCACGAAATTGTAAATCTTGATTATTGCAAGCACATAATTGTTTAAAAATCTCAGTAAATGATTTAACCTAAATACAAAAAAAGAATTTATTTCCACTAAAAAAAAGGGAAATCATCTTTATGAATATACGAACATCAAGAATTTTTTCACATATTATTCGATTTTCTTTCATTAAATCATTTAATCGTTGACGTTCTTCATCTTGTAAATTTAAATCTTTTATATATTCAATATCAGCTTGTAATGATGATAAAACAGCTAATGTTCCTAATGCTGCTTTTATTAATAATTCATCTTCATCACCACATAATAAAACTAATAATTTAATACGATCATTTTCTCCCGTAAAATATTTCATAACCTATTCGAAATAAAGAGAATATATATTTATATGAATAACTTTCTTACTTCTTCTTGAACAACTAAATTACACATGCATTCAGTTGCTGCTCGTTTCAACATTGGATGTTCTTCGAACATATATTGTTCAATATTAGAGAATCCATCTTCTTTTAAAATACGTTTTCTAACATTTTCTCCAATGCTCGCTAAATTTGTTAATGCCAATAATGCTTCGAAATTTTCTAGGGCTGTATGTTCAATTTTTAGAAGTTTAATAATAGGTCGAACAATTTCAAGCATCTAAAATAAAATGAAGATAAGATTCTACATTTGAAATTCTCATACTCGTTGACCAGGAAAAGCAATTTCTGGATTTGTTGTTATACAAATTTTTGCTAAAGCTTGACTTGCTTTTGTCATGCCAATAGCTGTTCCTTCGAAGGTAAGTGGAAGTAAAGCCTTAAAAATATAAATCAATTTATAATTATTGAGTTAATATAAAAAGAAAATATTCTACTTTTGCTCCTCCGCCTGCAACAATGGGTCCACGATATTTTTCATTTTCACAAAGGCCAAGAAATATTCTAAAACAATTTAATCTTGCAATTCAATCAAATATTTCTTATATTCATACCGAGCTATTTGTTCTCGACAATTTTCACTTTTATGTTTACATAATTGTACTAAAATAGGAATAATTCCAGCTTCGACTAATTTTTTTCGACGTTCATCAAAAAATGTTTTTTCATCCTGTAAAAAATCAAAATTCAGCTTAACAAATACCTATCATTTTATTACCTTTGGATGTTCTTTTGGTATATGTTGTTTAGCATATGTAGCTAATTCAACCATTTCTTTATCTGGTTTTCGTATATCATATGTATTTGTTAGATTAACAAATATTGTTGTTAGAGAATATAAAACATGTGCATCTTGAGATTGACATAAATTAAAAAGAGCTTTTAAAGCTGGTAGATTATCAGCAAGTTCTTCTTTAACATCAGCATCTAACGATAAATAAGCCAAACCATCAGCTGACCAACGACGAATATCGAAACTTTCACTTGTTGTTAAAAATCTACGAAAAACAAAACAATATATATATATTATTCAATATTTTCTCTTTGAACATACTTGCAACATGCACGACCAAGCGTTTGACATGAACCTTCAGCAACAATACCTGCACTTGTATCTGTACCTTTACTTGATGCAATTTTTGATAAACCCTTAAGAAAAATGAATAGGAAGATTAAAACATCAAAAAAGAAATGGATCGTACCACAAGAGCAAGCACTTTAATATCATCATTGGCTGATCGATACAAATTTTTAAGAATATCAGCACCTTGTGCAATAATACCAGCTGCTTTATCTTTTTTTGATGCAGATAAAACAATTGCTTCAACGGCAATACGCTAATATAATAAATAAATAAATCTTGAACAAAAAACCTTTTTTTCAATTACTTGTTGTACAACATCATCAGAACCAGCCATTTGTATCATTAAATCTACTAGATTCTGACTACCTAAAATTGCATTACCAGTATCAAACGGACCTTGCAATAGAACAGCTAAAACCGATATTGTTCGTATTCGAGATTGAACATCATCTTTCTCTCGTAGAGCTCTAAAAGTCACAAAAAACAAATATTTTCATATGATATTACATATAACATACTTAACAAATTCTATACATTCACTATTAAATTCTTCTCGTTCTTGATCTGAACATAAATCATGATAAACAACACTAAGTACACAAGAAATATGCATTTTGGTTTGTTCGGTTATTTGATATGATTTTATATTATCTGATAAATCACATACAGTTGCTGCGACTCGCAACACTTTTGGTACACCTATAAAATTAGGCATAGAAAAACAAATTAGAATAAATTATTGAAAATAATTACCTGATACAATAAATTTACTGGTCCAATTACAACCGTTTGCTCGATCAACAAATTTCACAACAAGATCAAGACAACAATCACGACCGATACCTGAACATGTTTTATCATCAATTAACCCATTTAACATACGAAATACATTGTTAATAAATTCAATTATTGATTGATCGAAATTAAAAGGTACATTAATCGGTTTTTGAATTTTTCGACGATTTTCAAGATCACATATTGAAATAATCATATTATGAAGTAAAACAGCTGCACTTGAAGGAATTTCGTTATCATTCATTGCTAAACAATGAGTAATTGGCTGAAGGCCAAGTTTAAGATATACATTTTCTGCCTAAAAAAAATAAAGAATCGATTTTAGATCTGTAAAAATTGTATTACATATTTTCGTACCCGTTTATATGAATTTCTAACAATCGAAGCTAATACTCGTAAAGTACCAAGTACAGTAATTCGTTCATTTCTTTGAATAAAATCTTTTATTTGTCGTAGATCACAATCAAAGGCAAGAATTCCTTCTGCACCAGCGTCTTCACGTGATATAACAAGAAGATTATTCAATGCCTATTATAAAATAAATATATATGTATCAGATGCAAATAAACTTACTGTTTCTGAATTTGAATTTATATGAATAGCTTCGAACATTTGTTGAATCTGAGATGTTAATTGTGTTTTTTGTGTATGCTTTAATAGAATGAAGATTAATATATGGAATGAACAAGAAAAATATAGATTTATTTATACTTTGCTTTGTGCATTTTCACGTAATTTTCTTAAAAGAATATTTGTTTGTTCATCACCAGAACCTCCTTTAGGTGAAATTGATATTAAACGTTGTGCATCTGATATAGCTTCGTTTACTTTGCCTAAACGTTCAAATGCATTTGCTCGACGATATAAAGATTTTTGATCTGCAGGAGTGTACTCAAGTGCTCGTGTAGCATCTTCAATAGCTTCTTCATATTGATTTAAATTAATATAACATTGCGAACGATTACTATAACATTTTGTTAGATCATTTTTTATGGTTTCAGATAATTGTAAATCGACAAGTGCATTCAATGCTTCAGTATATCGATCGATAGCTTCTTGAAATTTTCCTTGTTTAAATGCTTGATTTCCTTGTTCACGAAGATCTCCGGGTTCAGATAAACTCGCAGTCATATTTTATCTAAAAAAGAAGAGAAAATATGTATCATATCATCACATTAATTCGTCTAATGAATGTTCGTTTTGAACAAATAAGATACTATTTATTTAATTTAACTTTTTTTTTCTTAAGGTGATAATCTCTTTTTTTGTTTGTTCATTATTTCATCATCTATATGAGATATATCACACATTGTTTATATGATTTTTCTTATTCAATCTGAAAAAAAATACTTAAGATATATTTTCGTTTTCAGCAAGATAAAATAACTATGTATATATAAATTAACGTTTTCAAACATCTACTGTTAAAATGAATATCATTCTAAACGGTACCCAGCTCAATAGATCAATATTAATCGAATTTCATACCTTTGAAACGTATACTTAGATTTAATTAATACGTAAAAGAATATACGCAAGTTCATGATAATGATAGATCAAAATAAATCTCAAAGATAATATATCCATCCCTATACATATTTGACACATTAATAAAAAATGTATTAAATTTAAATGAATTTTCCGCCATCTATCGTCAATTATTCGAATATATCAATTATTTTAAAACAGATTTTTCTCTTAAAATTTCTTATTTCAAAAATTCTAGTTGAAGTTAAGAATAAATAAACAAGTAAATAAAATAAATGACCAATCAGATTAACTAATATTTCATACATAGATATATTTAGTCATTTTTTTAAAAAATAAGCCAATATGGCTACTTCATTTACAATTATTGATGATCTTGTTCGTGATTATTTTCAATATCGTAATTTATCATCAACATCACGTACATTTGATAATGAATTAATAAAATTACCCATTGAACAATATCGAGCTGATCATATTCTCGAACAGTTAACACTTAATATTCATCAATTTGATCTTACTACTTTAATTGATTATTGGACACAAATTGAACAACGTCTTTTATCAAATTTAACAATTGATTCTCAAAAATTAATAAATATTTTTACAAAAATTCGTACCAATTTATATCGTTGTTATTTAATTCATGCAATTCAATCATCGAAAACCGATAAAATAAATGAATTTTTCGATCGTTTAATTAAAACACTTCAACAATCAAATGACTGGTCAAAAGAATGGTTTACATTACCATTTATTAAAAATCCGGAAGAAAATCCAGTTTTTCAAGTTTATTTTTCCAAACAATGGAGTGAATTATTTTGGGCTTCATTACAAAATTTTCTATCGATAGCATTTTTTCAGTAAGATTTATTACGAAAAAAAAATTCAAATCATATTTCTATTCTTCTAATAGTATGATACCATCGAAGATCGGTTCAATTAAAGAGCAAACTGATCTATCTATATCTTCACCTGAATTAACCATAATATCGAAATTACGAAATAAATTCCTGCCGAATCAAACAATATCATCAAATAGTAAATATAGATTTTCGTTCTATATGTGAATGATATCGATTGTATGTTTTTTACAAGGTCAATTACCATCGTTTTCTACTCCATCAGAATTGATTTTTGTTCAACCAGTACAAGAATCGACAATAGGAAATCAGATCTTTTTATCTACAGATGATTCGTCAAGTTCACAAATCTCAGTAAAATCAACTACAATTATGTAAAATAATTTGGTCAGATAAATGTATAGTTTTATTGTATATGATTTCATAAGAAACATTCTCAAGTTTATTTTATAGTAATAAAAATTTTTTTTCTACTATGTAGAAACAAACATTTATAATTAATTTTACAATTTATTCTAATAAAAAACATAGCATATGTGTACAATTAAATGTAACATCTGACGATCGTTGTATATTTAATTAATATATTGTCATCTGATTCCTGTAATTAATATAGGGCAATTAACTGAAGTATTAAAAATAAATTTAACTTTCTAAAATCAATTCACCCGTCTTATCAAATCGCGTAGACGATATCTATCGGTCATGAATCCGACCCGATAGCTTAACATTCGTGTTTTCACGAAAATCAATATTCCGAAATATTTCTTCTTAGAGAAAATCTCTAATATGAATCTATTTTTATGGCTAAAACAACGCGAAACAAAAAAAATGAAAGACAATAAAACTGAAAAACGATGAAAGAACGTTAAGATCAGAAATAATCTCAACCATAATAAGTCAATTATCAAATCATGATATTGTCGAGTTTAGAATTCGTTGTTTTTTGTTGGTCGGCTGTCTATAGTAAAAGATATATTATTAACGAATTCAAGTGTACCGGTTATATTTACTTCCTGAAGCTGAGGCTTGTTTTGCATCATGTGTTCGTGCTTTGTGGCTATGATCATGATCTATTTAGAAAAATAATTATAAAGAAATATTTTATACAAAACTTAAATTTACCATGGGCAGCTTTATTTCCAGTTGTTGAACGTTGAGTGGATGTTTTAGCTTGAAAAAAAACGTGGGCGATATTTTATTTTATTATATTATATGGCTAATTTACTTTTGATTGTATCATCTTTTTTATTACTCATTTCTGCAATTCGTCGTTCAACTTCAGCTTTAAGATCCCAAAGACGATCGGCGAAATCTCGGCCAATAACTACAGCTGTTTCACTAAATGTTGTTAAATGTTTTGGTAAATCTTTAAATAATTTTTCAGCCATAACTCCTAAGAAAAATATTTCGAATAAAAATTTTTTTTTTTTGTTTATTTTTATTTCAATATACCATATTCTTTTCCATAAGGTTGTTTAAAATGGTGGCCAGCTAAATCAGGTAAGATGGTTGCTAAATATCATTAACAGATATTATGATATATATGTACTTAAATTTTTCATCTAACTTACCAACAATAACACCAGAAACAAAAACAAAGGTATAGATAAATATTGAACAACAAAATGAACGTCCTTTTGGTTTTGATAAATTTTTCTTTGCATGATCACTAGTTGATTTTGAATGTTTTTTATCGTCGTTAGCCTAAGAATATATTATTATAAGATTTGTTAACTTAAGAAAAAGTAAAAGATATTTACCATGATAAATGTTAGATAAAATTTAGTGAATCGGTGGACTGTAGTTATCTAAAATATTTAAAGAATGAATGAAAATTTATCGAATGATCCAATAGTTTTATCTGGTATGTTTTAAAAATAAATAAATATATTGGAGACCAAAATGATATATATGAATTTCAGAAGAAAAACAAAATGGCGATACCGATACGAATGGTGATTGATGTCAACCAATAGAAGGTCAAAACGTAGCATCATAAGAATAAAACATGGTTTTATAATTCAATTTGTTCAATGATGCGTATCATTAATATTTTTTCAATTTCAAAGATAGTATGACATACTAATTATCATCATTGTACATAATTAAATTTTTACAATCAAGACAACTATTCGATACCGAGGAGAAATTAATTAAAGAATATACAAATGTTAGTTTTTCTTAATTTAAATAACATGGATTTTGTCATACGAATAATTAACTTATCTGTATCATGTAAAGGATTTATTGAGATAAATATATTATAATAATTGCTAACAAGATATATAATTCTTCTTTGTTATTTCAATCAAATACTGTTGAATTGGATTTTAAACGAAAAATAAAGAATTTTATTCAGTGGGGGGGGGGGGTGATTTTAGCTAAAATCTATTTTTTGAGTCCAATTGAAAAAGTGTGAACCTATTTTTTCGTTCATTTTTGCTGTAAAATATCGAAAAAAATTTCGGAAGGGAGGGGGGATCGTCCCCCCTAAATCCGCCACTGATTCTATTATGATAGTACTAATGATCCGAGGGTGTGGGAGCAGGGCTGCCAAATCTAAATTTAGAAAACCAGGGATTGACCAGGAGATCCTTGTTTGAAACCAGGAGAATAAACCAGGAGATTTTTAATTAAAGTTAAAAAAGTTTTGTTTATTTTTTTTGAAAGAAATTGAATTTTTCTTCTATACAAAAGATGAACGTTTTCTCCTAATAAGTTATTGTGGCACATTTTTCTATGTAATACAATATATGAAAGAAAATAATGATAAGTATGTCTCATTTCATCGTTTATTTCGAAATCAAGCAAAGTGTAAAATCATTTTTAATGGACTAGATTCAGCTTACGGCATCACATTTTCTTTCGATGAATTCGTTATTTCAATGATTTCAGCATCTTCCAACAAAGGCATTTTGAGGAATGTTCAAGGTATTCTCTCCTTTTATCTACAATATATAAGTTTTTGCAGCATAAATCATTTGCAAGAATTAAATTATTATTTAGTTTCATTACATAATTAAGAACAATATTAACGTGTTTTTTTATTGATTATTGCATTTATTAAATAATCTGATATTCCTGTTCGTCGCTTTCTTTTCTCCCTTTCGATTATCTCATTTTATGCATTAAAGGTATCGCTAAAAGTTAAAATTAAAAGAAAATTCAGAAACCAGGAGATTTTTTAACCAGAAGAAGGGTCAAAAAACCAGGAGACTCCTGGCTAAATCAGGAGGTTTGGCAGCCCTGTGTGGGAGTCACTCTTCAATTAACCTACACCCTCAAGATGGTTTGAAATCGGTTGATCAGCTAAAAGAAATCTGTTAAATGTCATTAAAGATATATTTACTACTTATTTCCATCAGTAATATAATAAATGACTGATTTTTAGTATTTAAAATTTTTATAACAATGCAACGATTATCACAGAAAAAAATTGGTGTCTGATATATATATGTTTTTTCTTTTTTTTGGTTCTAAATATCACCATACTGAGAAGAATTTGTTTTCTGTAAATACAGAACGAGACATGTAGATTGGCAATGTTTTTGTCTATTCGACATTTGTCAGAGAAAAGTCAGCTGATATTAAGACTTGAGATATAATGCACTACAAGCATCTGATTGTCTGGTATGTTTCTACTTATTTACAACAAATAATGAGAAGAAAAAGAACTGAGATAAATGAACATACAACACTATCGTATCGTCATCTAGTTAGAACGAGGAAAAAATGCTAAGATAGTTTCTTTTTCCTGTTCTTTGCTTATCGTCAATCGATTCCGATGATACAGCTTTATTTGTCATTCCTACTTTTTCTGTCGTAGCGTTTCTGCTCTTATTCCTTCAGACTATTTTTATGTGGGTGTCCTCTGATTGTCGATGTTGATACACGTATACACATCATCTTATTTTTTTCTATTCCCATAAATATATATATATATATGTCTGCGTCTCCATCGACGTCAAAACATATTTCTACACACCCTCAAATACAAGTATTTGATCGAGAAAATGATATTTGGACCACTAAAATGAATCTAGATCGTTATTCACCGAGTACAATAACTGCTCGAGTAATTGCACCACGACCATTCTATCGATCACAAATTACTCCTGATCCATATGATTATTCAAATAATAATCAACAATATCATCCAACACTTCAACGTGTATATTCATCAAGTAACATAAATGGTAAATACAAAATCTTATCGATAAATAACTAATTATGAATTTAAGAATATAGGAAAAAAAAGGTTCATATTCAATTCTTTCTAAATCCATTTATTATTCTATAGTTTAATGATAAATTGAAGAGAATATCAATTTTGTCACGTTCTAAGAATTATATCATATATTCTGTTGACAACATGAAGAATGATTCTTGTTAATATATCCAATCTGTCGTAGGTCGTTAAGAATAGAATGCTCCATAAACAGATATATTTCGATATTTCTATGAGTTGTAAGGAAATGACTAAATATTGAAATACTATTTATTTAGGTTCATCACTTTCAAATTCTTATCTATCCGATCATGAACAATCTCCACCAATTATTTCAATGTATCCTCGACATCATCAACAATATCGATCAGCAAATAATAATAAACGTGGTAAGTCGTATGATTAATGATTTGTCTATTGATAACTAACAGAAATCATTAATCAAATACGTTTATAAGATTTAATGCTGACGAAAAAAAAATATCTTTCTTCTCTAGCATTAATCAGTGTTAGTTCATCTCAATCACCATTAATTACAATAGCATCAGGTGGTTCAACAAATCGATCTCAAATACGTGTATCATCATCATCATTACCAAAAACAAATAAATCAACATTACATGAAATTCATATATCACGACCTGATTCTCCAACAATATCAATTAATCGTACGGGAACAAATCAACCAATTACATTTACTAGTACACCCAATGGTGGACTGATAACTAATGGAAATGGTAGTGCTTTTCATATATCAGTTGGTACTCCAACAAATTCAGTTCAACATGATATACGTGGACAAACACCACCGGCAAAGTTATTTCATCAAATTGATAAACGATATACGCTGAATCCTACGACAAATCGTTTTAAACCATTAATAGTTTATACAACTCCGAAAACGAATACATTTGATCGATCATCACCTATTGTAAATTTACCACCGGCTTCAAATTCAACTTCTTTATCAATGCGTAATGGAAATATAATTAAACGAGATCATTACAATGTTGATCAATTAACAAAATTCTTCATAAAAAATATGAATACAACAAATGAAGCGAATGTTTTTGGTATGTGTGCTAGATGTAATGATGAAATTATTGGAGAAGAAAATGGACTTGTAGCTATGGATCGAATGTATCATGTGCCTTGTTTTACATGTACCATGTGTGGATGTCGTTTACGTGGTATGCATTTTTATTCAATGGAAAATCAACCGTATTGTGAACCATGTTATATTGTAAGTTAAAATTGAATTTGTTTTTATGAAAGAATTATTTTTTTTCTTGTATTTAGAGTTCATTGGAAAAATGTGTGGTTTGTGCACTACCGATTACTGATCGAGTAAGATTCATTTTTTTAGAAAGAAATGAGTTTCTATGTTTAAGCAATTTATATAGATTCTTCGTGCAACGGGTAAACCATATCATGCTCAATGTTTTTGTTGTGTGGTTTGTCAAAAAAGTCTTGATGGTATTCCATTTACAGTTGATGCAACAATTCAAATACATTGTATTGATTGTTTTCATCAAAAATTTGCACCACGTTGTTATGCTTGTCATCGACCAATATTACCAGTATCTGGTGAAGAAGAAACTGTTCGTATCGTTGCATTTGATCGAAGTTATCATTTTGATTGTTATCGATGTGAAGTATGTAGAATCTTCTTTTTGTAAAGAAAAAAACTTTATTTTCTTTTTTAGAATTGTAAAATACAATTTACAAGTGAACAAGGTTGCTATCCAATAGATGATCATATCTTTTGTTTACAATGTAATCAAACCTATTCAAGTTTATAATCCAATGTATAATATGTGTTATTTACTGTTTAGTATTGATTTGTTTTTTCCTATATAAAATATGTTTTTCGTTTTAAAAAACTATTAGTGTTGATTTATCATCTTTTTCAATATGTTTCCATCCTAATGTTTTTTTTTGTATAATATTTGTAATTGTAATTTAATCGAAGTATTCATAAAAATAGAAAATGATTTTTAGTCTTCATTATGACATAGTATAATCTAAGAAATGAGTCAAATTGTCTAATTTTCGAGAGATGTGTTAACGGTTTACTGGAACCAGTGAGGGATCTAGGATTTTGGAAGGGGGGGGGGCGATTTCGGCTAAAAGCTATTTTTTGAGTCCAATCGAAGCAGTATGAACCTATTCTTTCGTTCATTGTTGCTGTAAAAAATCAAGAAAAAATTCGGAGGGGGGGGGCCGATTACCCCCATTGTCTCCCCCTAAATCCGCCACTAACTGGAACATAGAATTTATTTTTATTCATTGTGTCACACTTTTTTCGATTTTTTGCAGCAAAAATGAACGAAAAAATAGGTTCACACTACTTCGATTGGACCCAAAAAATAGTTTTTAGCCAAGATCGTCCCCCCTCTCCAGGTATCGCCCCCCCCCCTTCCAAAATCCTAGATCTGCCACTGTCACATTGCAAACAGAATTATCTGTTATGTCAATACGATCAATTTTCATCTAGGCAAAAACCTGTCTGCCTTGTTTATAACTACGACTAGTCAATAATATGCAATAAAAATAGTCGATATTTACAGATATCGATCTATAATAATCATCATCATTCCTAGAAGAAGAAATTCTTTTTTTTTGCCATAACGTTCAATAATATATCATTAACCGAATAATTTTCTCATAGTGACTTTTATTTGAAATGTGATATATAAAACGACCTATCTATTTCTTTTTATATGTGGAAATCAGATACTTCATTTAGATTACAATTTCTTTTACATGCTAGTAATCATGTTATTGATATTTTGAAAAAAAAATATAACATTTTATCTTTAATTTCATTTATTTATTTTATTCTCATTATGAGCAATATTAAAAATAAAAGAAATGATTATATAAAATCTAGTAGACATATAAATAATTAACTATACAATATAAATAAAATACATATTTCATGAAAAAGAAAACAAAGAATGGCATTTAATTATTATATTCAACTGATGATTGACTTTTTTTATTTTCTCGATCTTTTGTATAGACTTCCATTTTTTCATCATATTCAGCTTGATTTGTTTCATATTGTTTTTGATATCGACGTTTTGTCTAAAATAAACAATTAAAGGATGATAGAAAAAAAACAATCTGATTTTATTTTTCAACTTACTGCATCATCACTTTGACGCCACATTTCACCTAATTTTTTCGAAATTTTGTGATAACTTGATTTTGGATTTTGTTTCTAGAAGAAAATTTATAAATTAAATTAATCTAAAGAAATTCTTTTCTACTATTACTGTAAATTCTTCACGATGATCATCGAAAAATAATCGCCAAGCTGCTGATGGTCGTTTTGGTGCATTTCGATCATGATTACGTTTTTGATTTGAACGACGAGCCATTTATTGAAATATTATATTAATAACGATTGTGTACTTATTTGAATTTGTAGTAGATGTTTATGAAGTAAAATAAGCTAGACATCGTCCTTTTATAGGCTATGATATTTCCGTCCGTTAGAAATGGACGTATAGAGTAAACCGTTAGATAATTATCGAGAGAGAAAAATGAGATATACGTCGAGAAAAGAATTTTATTCTTAATTAAATAAATAAGCATGCGGAAAAATAAATTTGAATATAGAATGTACAAATTTGTCAAAAAAAATGTATATTTTAAATAGAATTGTTCGTTTGATGATGAAAAGCACTTTTTAATAATTGTATTATTGGTAATTCAAAAAGAAGAAAAGTAAAGAATGATAAAATATAGGAAATCATCGTATGAATAATAAAATTGAATATCTAAAAAATAAAATTTAGTTGAAAATTTAAGATATAGAAAACATACCATAGTGGGTAATGTAAAATGAATAGGTTGATCACTACCAAAATAATTCACAGTGAGAACTAGCGAATGCCAAAGATATGCACCAAATGTTAATTTTGCCAATAAATGAAAAAATGAATGACTCAAAAATTTATTCACTTTACCTATTGAAAAAAAACTTTTGTCAATATATATATATAACAAAATAGACGAACCTCGTTGGTTAATAAAACAAATGATAATAATTATACTTAATCCAATACCCCATCCGAGTCTTGATAGAGCATGAAATGCAACTCGTTCTGATGAAGTTAATGGATTTCCATTAAAATCTCCATGTGTACCGAAAATACAGAGTGCCATTATAACTAAAGCCAATATCCAAGCAATGATTTGTTTTATATGTTTATATCCAGTTAATCGTCTTTGCGGTAAAAGTGATTCCCATGAAAGTGTATTATCACGTTGATGCATTTCATAAAGAATATGACCAAGTATTAAACCAATTGCATATGGAGTTATACGACACCATGGTTTAATATACACATCATTCATATAATTATGACTTGTATTCGTTCGATTTGAATATAAATCACTAAACATTCCATGATCATAACCTCTTGTTGACATAATAACGGACGTTGATATAATATCAACTATAATAAAAGTTATAGCTACAAGTATTCCACAAATCCATTTCCTAGAAAGAAAAAATTCAAGATAAATTGATCAGTCGGATAATTGAAGAATAGATTTACCATGATGTAGCAAGTAAAAACAATGGTGCAATCCAATGTAATTGCATATTTGTTGCTAAAAACCATGTTACCGGCATACAACTATCACGTGAATCAAACATGTTATTAATATAAAGTAAATTACGCCACCATGTATGTTTACATGCTGATGTTTCACTGCCATTGATTGGATAAATCGGACCACTTTGACCAAAATAAGGTGAAAGTGTAATATAAATTAATAGCATTATCGCATAAAATATCGTATATCTATTTAAAATAATAAATTTATTGCAAATAAATCGATTAAATTGATTTAAATACCTTAGATAACGATAAATATAATGATTGACAAAAAATCTTAAAATTGAAAATCTCTCATTTTCAATTTTAGATATAAAATATATAAATGCAGTTAACAAACCACTATAAAAATCAATAAATATAATTTTTTTTCAAAAATAAAAAATTACCTTAGAAGAAAAAATGAATCAATACTAAATACTGCTTGTATAATTATTTGAGCATATAAATGACGTGACCAATTAATGATAGTTACCACATTATCTAAATAATATTACATGAATGAAAGTCTTAAAACAGATAATAGCGCGAGCTTAATCAAATAAGTAATGACTTACGAATAAACTATTTTCTATGAATGAAATATTTCTCTTGAGAATAGATATCTATAGAAAAAAAAACTTACCGGAATAAAATGCAGCAAATACAAATGTATGACCAAGAATAACCCAGCAAAGTGAAAGAACTCGAATACCATTTAAACAAGCGAGCGTATTTGGTTGACTTTTATTTTTTAATAGATGATAATTATTAGTTAATGAACAACAATTAATTAAATTTTGTGCAACTAGAAATAAATCAATAAAAATTAATTTCAATATAAAAAATGTTTTTACTTGAATCAACAGTTTGTCGAGGTCGTGCAATCAATGGTGTACCTTCATCTAATGGATCTGTTGTTGCAGCTGTTGTTGTTGTTATTACTGTTTCGGTTTCTGCTTCGACTATTGTTTGATCTAATATGGGTTCATATCCTGATCGAATACTGTCTTCAACTTGTAAACTGTATTTATCTTTACAAGCAATATGCATTCCAGTAGCAAGAAGAATAAGAATAATAAGAATAGTTAAAATTACACTATAAAAGAAAATAAATGAATTGAGAAGAGAAAAAAAATCTTACATTGTTAAAATTGCTTTTCCATCATAGGAACGATGATCAATACAATGAATATTATCGTCTGTTAAATGAATAAATCGTTTGATAAATGGTATTCGAATAGTACCTAAAAATTTGAAATATGATTCAATTTAAAAGAAAAAAACTATTCTTTTACGTGTATTAATATAATTAACAAGATCATTTGCATTACAACTTTGTGGTACACAAATACCATAAACTGGCCGAATAATATTTGAAAAACCAGTACCAATCGTACATGTACGAGTTTGAAATGGTTGTTGAACAACACTATTATTTAAACCACGTAAATGATGTTTACATTCGAAAACTGAACCAACCCAATAAATATTTCCTTGCATAACTCCACTCGGAAATTTACCCCAAGCATCTAATGCTGAATATAAAATCAAAATTATGTATTTCTGAATAATCAAAGAAAAAAATTATGTTTTACTCTTTAATGCCCATATTTTTCTAGTAGCTAAATCTCTAGCTAATAATTGAATATCTTGACTACAATTCGATCCATTAGCATCAATTGTAAGATCAATATTTATCCATGGTAATGTTTGATTAAATTCAATAGTAGAATCAATAATATTTTCTTGTACAAAACGATGATTAGCAATTATATTTGGAATTAAATTCATAAATGATATAGATTCACCATTGATATCATTTTTAAAAATTAAAACAAATAGAATAATAGAAAAATAACTGCGAAATCTCATTTTAAGGTTTATCTACAAAATAAGAAAAAAAATAAACAAATTACGAGTCTATTTATATGACGTAAATGATTCATCAAATGCACTTTTTTCTTACATGGTTATTGAAGCGGAACGTAACTTCTATGAATATATGACTAATAATAAACTATTTTTACCTCTACTAAAAATAAAAACAACAAGAGTCTTCTTTTTAAAGTTTGTACTACGGAAATTATATTTTAAGTGGATTTAAAAATCATCGTTTATTACTATTTAATTATTTCAAATTGAATATATTCTACATTGACAATAAATAGATTCTTCGAAGAAAATATAATACATGACGAGAAGATTTACGTTTACAACATCAAATTTCTTTTATAATATTTTACAGATATCAAAGATAATCTCAAGCACATTAATGTATAGAACAATCTCTGACTTAATCAAATGTTTTAATTTTAATTCAAGTATATGAAATATATATTAATTATTTTTCTTCTGCTAAAAAATAAACTAAAATTTCTTGTATAAAATATATTTTTTTATTAAAGTTAGAAAGAAAAAAAAAAGCCAAGATCCTTTTATTTATTTATTTCTCTGATAAACACAACACAAATATAGAACTAAAACTAGACGATCGACTATATTATGATTTCGACGTAAATCATGGTAAATCCTTGATACGTCTACAGATTTCAGCTGTATATTCGGAACATTTCGTTTTACCACCTAAATCACC